GTGTGAGAGAGAGAGAGAGAGAGAGAGAGAGAGAGAGAGATGATTTTGTTTGGATGCTCAAGCTATCCATGTAATAAATGACAAACGACGGACAAAGGTGAAGTATCTCTTGAAACAAGCAAGGCCAGGCATTAAGCCCACTTGTGGTTTAGTTTTTGTTCTGATGTTAATGGAAAACAATGTATCAAATAATTTGCTGAGGGCTTTGGCTTTTCTTTCTTTTTGTTGTTGTTGTGATAATGACATGATGATGATGATGATTATGATGATAGTATAGGCATGTAGATTTCTTATCCAAGAGCATCAGTTTCCAGAACTTAAAATGTTAAATTTTTTTTATATTAATGACAGTGACAGCTATTACTCAAGACTCTCCTTCCCTACTTTTCTTTATGTACAATGATGATGATGATGATAATGAAAACGAATCTGAAATAACGGCAATAGAAACAATGTATGTCTCAGACAATGATTTCTTATCCAAACTTAACACATGTGCTCACCAGGACAGAGAGAGCCCCTACCACTGAGCCCATGTCCACTGGAAGATCCGACTGGCCAGGCGATGCTCAGGACAGTCCAGCGAGGGATGGACAACAACACGTTATCGTCGGAGATGGTGGTCATCATCATCAGCACGCTGGTCAGATGGTTGAGGGAGGTCTTCCTGTGGTGGGCGATGGGTGTCCTGTTTGCTTGGCAAATGCTCAGAGCGCTTTTCTCACAAGTAAGTTGGGTTTTTTTTATCGGAGTGTTGTTGTGTTTTTAGGTTAGCTTTTTTTCATTTTGCATATTGTTTTGCCTATCATTTTGTCCATTTTCATATATGAACGCTTAGAGCGCTTTTTCTCACAGGTAATTTGTTAAAATCTGGGTGTTTCTTTGTTTTATAGTTGTTTTTTTCATTAATTTGATTGACTTCTCTTTAATTGTTAGTAAAAAAAGAAGACTAACAGAATGATACAAGAATAAATGTGGTCATTTATGTGCTTTTGGTAGAATATTCTTGTTTAATTGATGTAGGATATTTCAGCACCAAGTCCACCTTAAGAGTATAGTGATAGATCTATTTTCCTCCAATCGTTGTTACAATGATGGCAGTGAGAGGTGGCAGTGGTGGGTGGGGCTCTCACTATCTGAGAGGTCAAACCTCTTGTTGGTATACCCTGAGCCTGTTTATTTATTTCTCAAACTTAAGTATATTATTTCTGTTGTCTGATAATATTCTCTTTGAGGAAAACTGGAATCTGTAGTGAGTAGTCAGGCACTATGCTGTGGCTTACAGAAATCATGAGTTTCTTTCCTGTGTGGTGAGTTGTTTTTTTTTAGAGTGGATCTGTGTATCTTTTGGGATGTATATCCCTCTTGACTGAGTTTGCCCTTTCAGTCAAAGCAGCCCGCCTCTTAAATGGTCTAAACTGTGTTGATGGGGGCTTGAAGATATGTCCTATTACAATTACAATATGTGACGAAAATTGATGAATTTGAAATATAAAAAAATGAGTTGTTTCTTCAATTTCTTAACCATTTTGGTTTATCATATTATTAGCCCTTGAGAGTAGGCGTGGCTCACACTGTGTTGCTCTTTTTCTCTCTTTATGTGGAATAGAAATATGAATTGACTTTAATCAAGTCATAATATAAAAGGTCATGTTTTCATTCAATTTTTATTTGTGTAATTTTCCCAGGTGTGGCCAATCAGGGTGAAGGTTTGGACACTACAGGTCTGCCCAACAAAGAACAAGTAGTCCCAACAACAGCAGAAACTGTTGAACCAATTTCTAAGGTAGAACCCAGCCCACGTGTTGAGCCCATTTCCAAAGTTGACCCCAATGACAAGGTTAACCCTAGTCTTGAGTCTGAGACCAGCTACCCAAGGGCTCAGGGAGGTCCCAAGATGAAGGTTGCTGATGAAAATATTGACCCATCTTTCCCGAGACAAGTGAGGGTCAGAGGTCGTCCAATGTCTTCCAATCCATCCGGAGCAGTGCGGCTCAGAGTGAGGTATGTTTTTGTGCTTCAAAACATGTGCTCTCATGAGTTTTTAAATTAGTGGTTCTTATTAACTGATTTTACTGCTGCAGAGACCATCTCAAAGAACCTTTGAGTAGCAATTTGTCTAGGATCTATAATAGACTCTGGCAAATTGTGCTCTACTTTACTCGAGAAACAAGTCCTTTAAGGGTTGAATCTGGAAACAAGTTTCTCAAGGCACATTTGAGATCAAGCAACAATTTTATTTCTAAAAATAATCTGAGATTTTTAAGCCAATAACGATTTTGTGAATGTTAAAAGATGCTAGTTTTTTCCTTGGTCAAACTGTTTATGATGTTCTTTCTTACTTAAACTTTTTGTAACATACAGGTTTCATACCCTCTCTTTAGTGGCTCTCGTGGCCTAGAGGTTAAGGTGTTGGCCTCTCATTCAAAGGTCCCGGGTTCGAATCCGGGTAGCGACTGAAAAATTGTCTTCTCTAAAATATACTCCTTTCACCTCTTTTCCTGCTCTCTAGCAATGTTCTGTTGTCTGCTTTCATGTCCACTTTCTGCCCCCACCCCCTCACCTCCTTTGCCCTCTCCTCTGGGCTCCTGACTCTTTCTGCAGCCTTTCTACTGCTACTCCTTGGCTCCTCCTTACTGCTGTCTTTCTGCCACACCCCTGATCTTCTGGTAGGAAAGATCTACACCTAGCCTTCTCGGACAAGGGCGAAAAATCTCGGAGGGCCCGTGTGCAAGTTGCGCACGTTAAAATCCCTTGGTGGTCTAAAATCGATAAGAGTAGGCTTCGGTCGCCATCCGGGCAAAATTCAAAATTTCCTACCAACTGAAAATATTAGGAGTGTCCTGCGCGCTCATATGACCTTATGCAGTTGCGAGCGCAGTAAAACACTTTACCAAAAAAAAAAAAAAAAAAAAAAAAAATACCCTCTCTTTGTAAAAGTTTTATTTCTCTCTCTTGAATCTGCTAACTTATATTTTAAAACATCAATTTCCTTGCATCTTACACCAGATAACAATTATAATGCTTATGAGACCTGTTTTATAGCTTCATCTTGTTGAAAAAGAATTTTTTAAATCTTTAGATGTTAAGTCCCGCTTACACGCAACATAAATTGTATCAGATTCGTCTAATGAGAGAACTGTCTGTTTTATCGGACTGTATTGTCTGTTTACACATTCCAATCTATCATTAAGTTTTCTTTCGATTGAGGAGATTCCTTGTCATAAAGCCACCGTCTCTCTTTGCGACGACACCGATTTGCCTGCTCTCTATGTGAATGTTTCCAGCTCTGGACCTAATGAATGAAAGGCAAACACTGTACCTTTAGACCACGAGACACCCCCCCCTCCCCCTTTCTCCTGTACATTTTGATTTAGCCGAACAGTGTCTTTAGAAAAGGGTGGCCATACTAGGCCTAATATGTTGTGTGTAGAACCGGAACTTATGACTTGACTGCAGATGTGAAATGCACCGAGTGACCTTGATGCACAGCTTCACCCTTGACGATCAACTAAATAATAAAATTGCTAATATATATAATAAAAACGTACCAAATGTGGTTCTCCGAGAGCAACATTGCTTATTTTGAGACGCTGATTCCGAATATGAAATCAGTTTTTACCTACGATAATTATGTAAAAAATTTTGAGCCCTGAGCTTAGTTCTGCGCGGCAGCAAATTTCAAATTGAATCTACATCGCAGCTCGTCTCCCTCAAGTCTGACCGTGATCACAAGGAAAATATCAAGCAGCGCTTGATTTCTCGACCAAGTCTCCAAACCATCGTTCAATCTTCCAAATTTTGTACAATTTTGTGGTTACCCCTAACGATTTATTGTATGATCGCTATATCGTCCAGTTTTTGTACAATTTATCGTTACGTGTAACCGGGCCTTTAGAAGCTTACTACTTTTGTTCCTTGCTTTTATTTAGCTAAGGTTACATTATATCACCCGATATTATCTTGTTGATGTTTTTGTATTGCTTAGAAATCTTGCTGTATTCTTGTGTCATCAGTGAGAACCAACTACTTTTGGGCCGACCAATGAGTGCTTTTGCCCCGACCCATATTGGATTTGTGACCCATCCACCGACTGTGGTTGCCACGGGAACCAGCGCTAAGCTTAACTCAAGCCGCAGCATCCCAGCTCACTTCAAAACAGACTTCCAGCAGCAGAGGGAAGAGGCGTGGAAAAGCACGACTCGCCGAGGGAAACAACGCCCCCACACAGCCATTGTCCAGCGGTCCAGTACTTGTAAGTCATCTCCTATATGAGCAAAATGCTCGCAGCTAAAGGGATTTGAAAACAACAACAACAACAACATCTCCTCAACTCCTTCTTTCTCTCATTTACTAGAAAAATGTTAATTGCTGTTTTCTTTCTTGAAGAGATGATGTGCATCATATCATGCGAACCTAGTTTGCTGAAATTTGAACTTCAACTCAATAGGTGACTGTAAATAGCTGTAGGATTACACCACGGATACAGGGAAGCTGTGCTACTAAACGTGTAATTTCTGAACTTATTTCTTCTCAGGAATCTGTTTTGAAGGCAGGTCCACATTACTCAATTATTGTTGAACAGTCATGTCTACCACTTTGCTGTCTCTGAGCGGAAAATGACCTTTATAGTGCTGCTGTGCCTCATTTTCTTTTTTTTTTTCTCAACCAAAACAAAACTATTAAATCTTTAACAGGTTTTGTGGGTGGTTGGCGAGTGCTCTGGTGTAGTTTGCTCCTTTTTTTTCTATGAAACATCTATGCTCCTTATCTCTTCTCCTTTTTGTTCTGTTTCTTTCTAATAATGCCTCTAATGTTTGGCACATGTATGGCCTATTTGTATAGTAATTGCCATAAAACTCTTCTCAAAAGTAATGTTACAAATTTTTCAGGTAGCCATAATTATATGTTTTCATCCCCAGCTCTGGGCTTGCAGTTTCCCCCACCACAACGTCCCACCTCCCCGATCACATCAGGAGGTTTTCATTCCGCCAAGCCCCGTCTCCGGGTGACCCGCACGGAGAACTGGCTAGCTGGTGGGCGAGATTTGTTCTGGGAAGGCGTTCGAAAGCGCCCTAAATCAGGGCATGTCCCTGGTTGGAAGGAAGGTCTTCCTGAAAGTATGAGAAAACAGAGGCCAAAGTCTGCATATGTGCCCTCTTCTCGTGTGTACGCTATGAGGTTTGTTTCTTTACCTTACTGAAGCTGACTTTTGCAATAACTTATTTTCAGTGGACTCTAAATTGATGGCTGGGTGCTAGACTCTTTCAAATGTCATTTTGCAATTTGGCTATTTTGTTGGAGTCTTGCACGCAGCCATTGAAATAGAATCCACTTAATCGTTCATTTAAGAAAAGCATTTTAAACTCACAGTCAGATTTTCTCTGCTTCAATGAAAGTATCATCCTAATTAATAACAAATAGAATACTCCTTTTGAAAAAGAATTGTGTGGGACTTGCACTTTTCCTAAATCTATATACTCTCTCTATCTTTAAAAAACCCCCAGCTTTCTTCTGCAAAATCAAGTCAAGGGAGATAATAGGAGCTGTTTTTCTCATAGAATTGTAAAAAAATACATACAGTCGAACCTGCCTTAACGGAAACCTGTATAAAACGGAAACCTGTCTTAGCGGAATCTCCCCGCTCCTCCCTTGATATATTCCTCTTTAATCACCTGTGTAAAACAGAAACCTGTCCAACGCGGAAACAGAAAGAAAATTGCGTTCCATTCCGAGGATTTCACCTGCCTAATACAGAAAATGCTTTTCCCACTCAGCCCTGATTTGAAACAAATCTCGCAAGTTTGGTTCCACCGGCTCTAAACTCAACGCTATGGCCAAGCCGTTGGGTGAGGAAGGGGAGTAGGGGTGCAATTTGGGGGTAGATGTTACCACATATGTGAGCCCTGAGCGATGCAGATGGTCAGGGTGGTGTGGCTGTGATATCTCACGACTGCCCATTAGAGTAGCCAGCCACCACGGAAACTTTCCTGGATAGCCAGAAGCCAGAGGTGTGAAATTAGATAGACCAATGCCGGCCGCCCTGATCGTACTGCCAGCCGAGAAAAGAGTTCCTCGAATCGTTTTTACATTGATGGCAGTGAGGGGTGGCATTGATGGGTGGGGGCTAAGGGTGGAAGCAAAGGAGATGTTCAAACGTTTCTGGTTTTAATAGGTCAAACGGCGGTCCTATGAAAAGCAAGCACTGCTAGTAATTGGATAAGTAAGACTGACGCTTGTCATTATCAGACAGGATAGCAATTGAGAGGTGTGAAGTTTTGACCACTGCTCGCTGATCAGACAAGCGATTCTTGATCCCACCGGCCGGGCCTTTAACCCCCCCCCCCCCCCCTTCCATCTCCCCCTAAATTCCCCTGTCTAAGACATAATTTTTTTCTGGCTCCCTTGCGATTCCGTCTTACACAAGTTCAACTGTATACATAATACTATGTTTTGTGTACACACATGTCCATTAATTTTTAAAATGTGATATCTTTATAAATGTAACGCGCATTGAGAATTTTTTTTGAAAAATGGAAATGCGCAGCATAAATGAATTTATTATTATTATTATTTTCATATTTTAAATAATTGCTTAAATTGGCAGCACATGGTACGCCAATTTTCTTTTATTTGATTCACGATTATTGTTGTTTGGTTGTCTGCCAGGCCCAAGTCACCAGGTGGTTTTTTGGTGACATCCTGTGGGAGCTGTAGGACGCTGGAGGTTGCTCATCCAGGTAAGTTAGGCTTATTTCTGTAAAAAAAACTGTGATTAGTAAATTAAGCTCCTTTTTGCATCTGTTTGGTTTGGTTGAGTTATTTCACCTTAAATTTTCCTGGAAATGGTCATATTTTTCTTATTTCTGCATCTGGAGGTGTCATCCCTGACTCAGAGGTTGACATGTAATGACGACCCCCCCCCCCCCCCCGCCTTCATGGTTGCGAGCTGCCGTTGCACATTCTTCTGCCATATCCAGGCTTGTCCATGTTTTTATGTTGTGCATCCAAGTGCTCTCCTGCCCCACATTCTTATTTATTGGTTTTTAAAAAAGCGAATGTTTTATGTCTCCATAGACTGTTTTTGTAAGAAGTTTATTGGGTTGTGTTTACTATTGTACCTCAATTTCATTCTCAAGGGCTCTGTTTCTGAATGATCTATGTAATTTCTTTTTTCATTATAGTTTTTTTTAACTTCATGTTACATTGATTTATAGACCTTTTTATATACTTTTTAAAATGAAACTATCAACACATTAAAAGAATATAGCCAAACAAACATTATTTGGAACAGAGACTAAGAAGGCTGGGCCATCCATTTTAAAGATTCTTATAAGCGTTAATTGTTGCCGACTCATTTCTGTCTTTTTATCTCTGCATGTTCAGTTGCCCAGTCTTGATTTAAACTCATCATTAAGAAAGATATTTTGCGTGAATGAGATTGTATCGTAATCAAACACGACCCTTGATTGTACTTACAAAAATTTATGATTCTTGAATTTAGTCAGGGGCAATTTATGATGTTCAGATTTCTAATTATTTTCCTCTCATTGAACTTCTCAAATTGTGCATTGTCAAATTGCTAGTGATTTTGTTTCATCTGTTATGAGTTTTGCTGGTTTTTCTTCATTCTTGAAAATAATGTTGTAGTCCTTTTGATGACTAGGTGACCAATAATTTTCATCTTTTTACTTGTTACACGTGATAAATGCTTTCAGTTGAAAAAATTGATTAATGGCCTTATAGAATTTATCTATTTTGATTGGCTTTTCGGATTTAAGCACACTTTTTCTTTCTTTTGAATTGATTGCTCCAGAGTCAGAAAAAATTGTTTCCTTTGTATTTCAAAGAGTATCATCCCAGCCATTTAAATTTGTATTGTAGTATTCTGTGCTTTGATTCTCAGTAATCGTAGTCTTTGATGTAACTCCTTGAGATATAATGCTTGTTTGTTGCGAGTTCATTTTATACAAGTTGATCACTATGTATAGAACTGATGATATAAATTGATCTACATTTTTGTTTCTCTTACCATTCATTGTTACAGACTTTTGATGATGATGATGATGATGATGATGATGATGATGATGATAATGACGATGATGATGATGTTGATGCGTGTTTTGCTATTTTTGTTTGACTTTTGTCTTTGCTTTACCCCATTCCACAGGCTTGTCAATGGGTAGCTCCACGGATGATCCTGATCTGACCTACTTCATGCCGCATGTGCAGCAGCTGTTGCAACAGCCCCCACTTCGTCCTTTTGGTAGTCCTGTATCGTTTGATGGGGAGGAGGATCCTTTACCACATAGCATCGGCGAGGCAGAAATTAGGTAGAACAAGAGAGCGAAAAAGCACACCACAATAGCAGGCTGATGTCAAGGCTCATTTTCTTGAGCATGACATTCTTTGAATTTCTGGGTGTTTGATAATTATGTTTTCTGCTTTTTATTAGTTTGTGGTGATGTATTCTTGAACTGCTTTACAGTGTGATCTCATTATTGTAGGAATAGAGTTGAACTCCTCTGAGACACCTTCTATTATAAAACCATACATTTCTATCTCTTTGATGTTTCCTCTGTACTGATCAAATACACAACTTTTGATAAAACCCTGCTCAGGACGAGATAGCAGTAGAATAATTAATTGGTGAGTTGGTGGTTTATAGAGGTTTGACTGTTCATATGTTCTTGAACTGATTTTCAGAGCAGAAGTTCATACTGAATTTAGTTCCTCTAGTAATATTATTATTATGTCATCATTAAATATTCTATGTACCTAATGATGGCTCTTTTCTGCTGAAAATGTGCACAAGGTGTGATGATTCATAGCTTACTAGATGTGAGCTTTTTTGCTAGCAACTTAAGCCTTTTTTGTTTGATGTGTTGGTTGCAGGTATATTTACCTCCTGCTATATTGTATCTATTTGCTTTTACTAACCTGGTATGGTGGTATGGAATAAGGCAGCTTTTGATACTTATATGTCACTTAATTTTATTATTAATGAAAACCAGATTGTATTGATATTAACGATAATAGTATTATTATATGCTGCCTTGAAAATTTGGAAAAGTGCGAGGAAGAATTGATGCATTTAGCTGTTGTAATGACAGTACATTTTCTAAACTTTCCATGAATTTTTAGACACTATTTGGATTTTGAAAGAAAGAAAGACAGAAAACAGAAAAAGGCCATGCAGTAATGTAGAAACATTTCCAGCTCCATGAACCGAGGGACAACGGAAGTGGACAGTAATTCAAATCTGTGCTTGTGAGCAGCAGAAGTGTGTAAACTTAAAGTATGACTGATCTGTGTTTGCGACTGCTGTCTTTGGTGAGTTTGTGAGTAAAGAGAAACATAGTTAACACAATGACAGTTATTTAGTGCTGGTGAAAAGCAAGGCAGGCAGAGAAATAACAATGGTAACCACCCACTGTCAATGGTGGCTTTACTGCTTAGACTGCATCTGAACCTTGTCTTGCATTCTGCAAAGATGGATTCCTTAAACTTATCGAGTGGTTAGTGGAGAGCACGACACGAACGTGAGCATAACATTTGAATATCTTTGTTTTATTATTTCTTGGCGAAATTAATTGAAATTGAGGATCGATAATAATTTTGAGAAACAAGTGTTGCTGCCTTCTGCAAATAATAATATTATGCCTACTGATGATGGATCAACCGAAGACACGACTGGCTGATTATAATATGCTGGCCACATAATGTATTGCCTCTTACTATGGTTTTGTCATTCTGTAGTTAGTTTTTTCGTTTTATTGAATTGTTTGTTTTGCCATTTCCAACCTGTTATTCTATTTGTCTTTTCTTTCAAAGAAACACAGACACTTTAATTGTTTCAAGTTCTCTGAATGGTGTTGAAAATGTTTTCCTAAATTTTTCTTGCCCTATCCTGCTATCTTTTATTGGGTTTGCTTTCGTTCTGCACATTCAAACGTATGTGTGGATTTCTACACTACGCATGTCGTCAGAAAGACAAAAATTATGTGATTGGAGAGACCAGATTCTGTTTTTTTCCTTCTTCTTCATATTCGCTCCCATTTTTGACCACATCAATTTTGATGATACCGTGGTTGAGAATTCACCCCTCTTTTTTGTCTCAATTTCTCTCGCAGTGTAATCTCAATATTATTCATTTACACTTCCCCAACCGACTTTTATATCCCTTTTCCTTTTTTAAAATGTCATTTTTGAGGATTGTGCCCAATCAAGATTATTGGTATTGTTAATTGTTGACATATAAAGACTTCGAAGGAGCTGTGTACTTGGTTACCCGTCTTTATTGTATGGACTCCAAATGTTTTATGAGCTTCACATTTTGACCCCAGTCTTTGGCTGTGCTAAATATATCGACCATTTATCTCGATCTTTTATATAAAATTTTATATTATGTTGATTACATTGTAATCAGTATTCTGTGATATATTATATAAGATATGGTGGAATTAGCTGTCTCACATATATAATTTATTGATGAATGTTTTCTTTACCATACTCACAGCAACCCCTGTCCCTAATGTCAAAAAAAAAATTCTTTAAAAAACTGAAAGGAAAAGAGCTGCAATATAAAACCCAGATCAAGTAAACAGACCAAGCCATTCTCTATGAGTTTTATGGGAAATCTAATCAAAAGTGAAATGTCGTTTAAAAAAGAGCCTATGTTCTTAATAGAAAAGAAAAATGATCAGCGATTCTAATGAAATTAACCTCTTCTCCTGTATTCAGTGGAATTGCTACTAGCAGTGGTATTCTATCCTCTCAAGGAAATGTCCAAACTAACCTGGAAAGAGGTCTTCCCAAAATGCATGTTATATTTCTGAAGCCACGAATGTCAAAACTACAGTGTGATTTATGTACATTTACATGCAAGTTTATTTTATTTATCTTGGGTTTGACTGCCCTTGTTACACCCTTGATGTAAGTATTATGTGATGTTCAAAAGATAGAAAACATGATTAGACTTTAATGTCATTTAATATATCAGTGGAAGGTTCAATTTACAAAGAAAAGAACCAATCAAACTTCTGGTCAGATTGCACGATTGTTCTCAAAAATTATTTCTGCTCAGACAAATGAATCTTTACAGGTATAAATACATCCTTTTATGCATACACACACACACACACACACACACACACACACACACACACACACACACACACACACACACACACACACATACACACACACAGACACACACACACTCAGAGTCACACACACACACTCATTCTCATACACCACACACACACACACACACACACACACACACACACACACTCATTTAATCACTTATACACGCATTCAAACATACTAGAGGGAACAAATCCATCAGGCTAATGGAGACTGGATTAAAAAGGTGAATTATTATGAAGTAGGAGAAGAAAAAAAAATTGATTAAAGGATTTCCTGATTATGGTAAAATGAACTGTGGTAGGCACACCTATGAAGTACAGAAGGGAGAGAGGGAGAAGAGAGAGGGACAGAGAGAAATAAAGAAGAGCGGTTGGAATATACAGGATACTGGAGAGAGAGAGAGAGAGAGAGAGAGAGAGAGAGAGAGAGAGAGAGAGAGAGAGAGAGAGAGAGAGAGAGAGAGATCCATCTTGCATATTGTTGCACTGTGGGGAAGACCTTGTTGATCACTTTTTGCCTTGGACCAAGCTTTAAAAGGTGCTCTTCATGGTGCCTCAGGAGGCGACCCATCAAGCACATCAGAACAAGTGCGTACCTGTCTTTGTTTTGTTTCTTTCAGTAAAAGTAAATCGAAGAGAAGCATTAGGCTCAATAACCGTGAAATAGGCAGACAGATACAAAAAAAGAAAAGTAAAAAAGTAGGCCTTGCCACGGGCACTTTTCAACCATCCACCTAAAAACTGTAAGGTCAGATTATTCAGTTTTCTTTAAGAGACATCATTGACAATTTGATCACTCACTAAAAGAATCATAATTTTCAAACAGTGCATTTATCCCCATATAATGTAGTCAACTCCCAGTTAGCAACTATACAGGTGCAATTTATTTTCTTCGGACTTTTCTGGTCTAGAATGTATGTAGGGAGTTATGCATTTCCCGAAAGAGAGCAAAGTATGCAACAAGTGCTTCTTTGTGTGAGCTGGTGAAAATTATCGTGTAAGTAAAGATATAATCCAAGTGTCGTATTAGGAAAAGAACAAGACTAGCGAATGGAATAATTAAAAGCTACGAATGAAGTAGAACTCACATGTGGAGCCCTCCGTGCTCCTTCCATCAAGTGCGGCAGGGCTTTAGTTTTAGTAAGAGTTTTACGGCACTTGCAGCACAATACTTTATTTACTTTTCCGATCCAGCGCCATCTGGGTTCTAACCCTTCGGCCTGTCCATATGGCAAAGAATTTACAAGTCTTCATCAGCTGTGTTTTGTCGCTGTAAAAAGTATTTCCAATACATGTATCCGGGGAGGCAGGTAGGTAGGTACTAGGCAGGTCGTTGAGTGCAGGGCAGGTAAAGAGATGGTGTGATACTGTTTCATTCTGGCGGTCACACAACAGGCAGTCAGGTGGGGTATTCTTTCAGATCATATTTAGGTACGAATTCAGTGGGATGTGGTGTGTTCGCAGGTGAAAGATAGTGACTTGTTCTCTTCTACTTAGGGAATTTAGTGTGTCTTTTGAGTTGTGAGCAGTCGTATATGTGCAAATACAGCTCTTCCAGTTTTGCCCATTGCCCATCCATTCAGTCACTGTTCCCTAGTATTGCATTTGATGATGTTCTTGACTGTCTGTTGTGAGACTGTGTTTTGAGGTTGTGTTTGTGATGCTCCCTTCTAGGCAAGTGTCTGCTCTGTTGTTTCCTGGGATTTTGCTGTGGCCAGGTATCCACTGTGAAGTCAGGTCAACGGCATAGGTCTGCATGAAGGTGTTAATTGTTCACAGAGAGGCAAGCTGGGCTTTCAAAATTTATGTTTTCCAAAGCTTGGAGTACTGATTTTCCGTCTGTGAAGATTACAGTATCCTTGATTTTGTCTGGGTATATAATGAAAATATTGGTTAGGTGGAGGATTGCTGCTTCAATGGCGATGGCCTCAGCCTCATAATTTGTACAAGAAGTACCACAGGCATCAAATAGTTCTTCACATGTCCTTTCAGGATGTTCTATTCTTACTCCAAAGCATGCATTAACACAGTTCCCTTGAAGGCTGACCCATCAGTGTAAATATGGATTGAATCACTAGGGTAGGAGAGTCAATTGTTTAGAGAGCTATGGTCTTCAATTCTACTGGTTCACATTCCTTTTTCACTGTCTCCTTTATGAGGGAAGTTTTGTGTTTGGCATTCTTGATGTTGGTGGTTGGGGGGAGTTCTGGTCTTAAGGGTTTCAGCATTTCTGTTACATGGAAGATAAATGTTTTTCTACAATTTCGGTGGCTATGTCGAGTATCGATCTTTCATGGATTCATTTCTTTGGTCGTCTCTGTTCAATGATCTTTCTGTTTGGGTGGGTTTTTTCTAGTCTCTTGTAGCGCTCACTCATCTCCACAACTGCTGCCTGTCTCCGCAGGTCCAAAGGTTCCAGGTTTGTATGAATTTCACAAGCTGCAGTTGGAGTGGGTCTCCAAGCTCCTGAGATAAATTGTACAGCTTGATTCTGAATTTTGTCAGGAGACTTCCGAGTTGGTTTGCTGCAGATTGTCTGTAGGGTTAGGTTATATTCCATGGTAGAGCGTACATAACCAACATATAGCTGTCTGAGTGCATCCTTGTCCACTCCCCATGAAGTGCTAGCCAGCCGTCTGAGAAGGTTAAGTCTCTTGTTGGCCTTAGTCTACAGGTTCCAGAAATGATTTTTGCATGAAAACTGCCTTTCCAGTAGGTTGGATTTTCAACTTTTTCGAGTTTGGTTCCTTCAAGTGAGATTTTGCTTTGCGACCTTGTGACTTTTCGTAAAGGGGTGTAGATTGTCTTGGTACAATTTGCTTTTAGTTTCCACTTGCAGCAGTAGTTATTAAATATATCTAGGCCCTCATTAATAAGTTGTGCACTGATGCCAGCTTGTTCACTTTAATTCCAGATGGCTAGGTCATCGGCGTATAGGGCCTTTACCGATTTCAGTGTCTCAGGCAGGTCATTGATGAAAACAAGGAAGAGTGTACAGCTCAGAGAGGAACCCTGGGGTAGGCCCTCCTCCAGTAGGCCTGCAGCTTTGGATGACACACCATTGTTTATCCTGGTCTGGATCGTCCTGTCTGTAAGGAAGGTCTTCACCCATATGTAGAGTTTCCCGTGGATTCCTTTCTGTGTCATCTTCCACAGGAGGCCTTTTCTCCATACCCTTTTTGAAAAGACTTTATGGAAAATGCAGCAAAATAAGGTCATATAAGTGCTAGAGTTCAGAGGTGTTGCAATAGAGAAACAAACACAAAAAAGAAGGTGGAGGGATCAGGATTTAAAAGTTTGATTGGAAAGAAGGAGCAATCCACACCATAGCGTCTGCCAACCTTCCATACCATAGCATCTGCCAACCTTCCACGCCAGTGAGTCTCATATCTTCAGCTAGTGTCATGTGTTACAGAATAAAATACTTGTTCGCCGACTAAACCTTCCTTTTTTATTAATTGATTTTTTATCAATGAAAGCAGGGGGATTTTTGCTGGGCTGAAACATTCTTGGATGTTTTGCTTGACATGTTGAGTAGTGAGAATGTATTACTTGCATATGGTGTGGACCCGTGTAAAGCTATACATTTCTTGTAGAAAATTTGAAACATTTTACAAGTGTGTGCTTTTGCCATTGGCTCTCTTTACACATTTATGTATTCTAGTATTGTAGAAGTGCACCAGAGAAAGATACTATTACTGTTAAATTCTATTTCTTTTTTATTTGTACGATTAGTTTTGTCAACAAATTTTAAGTATTTAAAGTGGGAATTTTTTCTCCAGGATAATTTTCATGAACTGCTTAAAATAAGGGAACATTATGTTATAATATAGGCTATTCCTGTGGGTAGACAAAAATTAGGGCCCTCTTTTTTATCTAATTATTTGTTACGATGAGAAATTCAGCATTTTTCATTCACGTTTGACAGAGTAATTTTTGTGTGAATAGTGAGCACTTCTTTTTTCTATAAATGAAAGAATGAGTTTTTTTGTGTGTGTTTGGAAGGAATACACTTAATATAAGGTAATGTCTGTGTGTTCAGGTGTATCGCTTCTAACTGACTGATAACAATTTTATTCAATATTATCTCTTGGTGATCTTCTGACTGTACCAGATATTCCTTTTTAGCCAAGTGTCCATTCTATTTTTGAGCCATCACTAAATTCCATGTTGTACTTTTAGCACGTTAAAATATGTCACCTGTGATAGCAGAGGGTTATATATTATTATATATACAACTGGTCAATAAACAACTGATTTTCAATATTTTCCTTGTCTTTATTATCATCATTTGCTTCGACACCAATACCTATATTTTACACCTGTTTTGAGCTTTGACCATATTATATGCTTTTTGTTCCAATGTAAAAGGGGTGTGCGGCTTCACTAACACGGCAGTTTTATTGTACCCAGGGCAGTGTATGAAATTGATGATGCATTGACCCCACAGGTAAGTGAAGTAATTTAGAAAGATGTCAAAACGATGGCAGAGTTTATTTAACAACGTATCTCTGTATCACTACTTCTCTCTCTTCTTTTTTGTTCATATCTTGGTTAAGATATATTGGTTAGAGTCATTTGAGTCCCCTATTTTTTAAATAAGTTGAGTGTCTTTCAAAGACAACGTCACAGAGACCCAGATTTGGCCCCACAGGGAGTGAAGACCCAAGATGTGCGTACTAGGTCAAGTAAGCTTCAAATAGAGGGCTAAAGTTTACTTTTACTGAAATATTGTAGTCTGTTTTATGTACAAAATGTCTTGAATGTTGAGCAGGAACTTGTACTTATTTTTGTATCAACAAATCATTTTAGGGTGTATAAACTGCTGATGAGAAGGGTTTTCCTGTGAATGCATTCTTAAATACTGTGAGACTGAAGGAAGAATATTACCTGCTGTGTATCTGAAACTTTTTTGACCAAGATTAGGTCATGTGGAGTTACTTTTAAAATTCACTTATTTAGTTGAGAGAAAATTTATAGATTGTTTATATTAAATTGGTTTAAAAAAAATAGTTGTTGACGTTTGATGCAACCCACCCCCCCCTCCCTTAAGTAAATGCAATTTTAGATAATGTAGGAAGCTGGCTTCTTCAAACCTACCTGTTATGGCCGTTCTTGGCTGAGACTGAAACAATGTCCAAGTAGACAAATGGAGATTATCGATAAAGTACCTCCCCATACAGAAATCTTCTGTGTGTGATAGTGAAGTGTCCAACCACTATGCCACGTATATTTTTACATATCCAGTATATACTGGTTTAGCGTCTCTTGTAATAACTTTTTCTTTAAAATCCCTGAAGTTGATGTTCTACTCTTTTTGTATATGTATACATACACAACCAGTGTTTGAAGTAAGGCAGATTATAGAATGAATAGTTTGATATTGTTCTATACTTTTCTGTTTTATTATTTGTAAACCGTAGAAATCTTTCTCAGTCTTTTTGTGTTTCTGAAGTACTCACACAGCTGTTACATTTCAGGTCTGGCCTGTTCATTCAGGGGTATCCACCCCAGAGCATCCCCCCTCCTCATGGGGTGTACAGATTACGATCGTCTCACCGCATGGGACTGGCCAGCGCACCAAGCTCATCGTATGACAGCCGACTCAGTTTTTACTCCGACAGCAAGCTCATGTGGGTTCCTCCTCGTTTTGTGATGGACATTTTGCCAGAACATATCGCTGGTAGAGATGATCATAAAGAGAGTGAGCATTGTATTTTGTGTAAAGTTCCTGAGCTCTCTTTGAATGAGGAGAACAGTATAGCGAACAGAGGCACGGACAACAGTGCTGTGGTAGGCGACGAATATAAAAATGACACAAGTATGAAAGAAGAGCAAAATGTGGTGGAGGTGAAAGAACCGAGAGTTGTTGTCAAGAATATTGTCTGCAGAGATCATGTTCAGAATGATCAAGAATCAAACTGTGTGGACGGTACAAATCTTGATGAAAGTGAAAGGCCCCCATTTTCCACAACAGACGGATATTTTGCTGAAAATTTTTCTGCCGATTTGAATGAAGGCAGTGAGATGGAGGATGAGTTGATGCCCATTGTTGCTGTTCAGAGACCTCCGAGCGTGTATTCTGATGATGAAAACGAGGTCACATGTGTCAGCCCAGATTCACAAGCATATGTTCTTAACGGTAGCAAAGAGAAAAATGTAGTATATGTAGATGAAAATGGATCGTTTGCTGTCAGGAAGCAGCCCCCCTTTGTGTAATATTCAGAATGTTGCCAGTTACAGCTCTCAAATGTTATCTATATTCTTCTTAAACAGCAATCACAGATTTTCTAAATGGCTTTTAGGTTAAAGTAGTTTTTAATTCTGATTGCTTTGTGTTGTTTTAATAAATTTTAACAAAACGATTCTATGATAATTTCATTATTATCATACTTTTTTTTTTAAAGACTTGTTTTTATTATTATTGTAATGTTGTTAATGACTGCTGTATTCCTTCCTTTCCTGGTGGTATTATTAAGTTAATTGAGATTACAGTATGTATTTGTCTTTCTTGCAGAGTTTAATCATTAACCGGTCCCATTTTTCTGTACGTAATATCTCGAATAGGACAAGACCAGAATTAACAAGCTAATACTAACAGTAACAATAAAAGAAAGAAATGGTTTAGGAAACACTGTTTGATGTCCTCCCTCATCCATAGTAAGGCACAGAGATCACGTTAAAGTGTGACTGAAAAGAGCATTTTGTAATTGATTTTATGACATTTTTTTTCCAAAATGAGACAAAGAAAGAACCAAAAAAAAATCCCAAACAAAGAACAAACCACTTTGAAACCTAAACAGTAGTGACAGTTGACATGACATCAAGCCTGAGAATACTGAGATTGAATTGTTTGATGTTGGGAGGGAACAGTGGGGGGGGATGGGGATGGATGGATGGAGGGTGGATGGGGGGGTCAACGTTTTTTTCGTTCTCAAAGTGTGACTTGCTATTCTGACAGTGTTACCTTTTTCTGAGAGCCTCAATTAAAATGATGCCTCTACCTTCAGAAAGATGGAATGCAAAAAGCAGATTGTGCAGTGGAATCAGGCATCAATTTTGGGCCTAAGGAGACGTTGGTATCATCTTTAAGCTTGTTCATTTGTCTTGCTTTTGTTGAAAAAAAAAATGCCCATCTATTTTGAATAGACGTTGAGATATTATATTTGCAAGTAAAGAGGTGGGGGTTACCAGGTGTCAGTGCTGAAATTACCGAGCAAATAGCCCCCAAAGTTTGATGACTTTCAAAGCTTGAGTGTCCTTGGAAACTGGACATTTATAATTTTGAGCCTTTGATCAACATTTTTCAGTAAAATCTGCTCAGAAATGTGTTTTTAAATGGACATAAAAGGTGTTGAGCCAAAAAAAGAAAATTTGAAAAAAATTGCCCAACGGCTAGAAAAATGCTGGTTTCTTTGATTTCATTATTTTGAAGAGTGCCTTGATCACGATGCGTCACCATTGATTTTCTATAAGTAATGATGACGATAGTGATGACAATGACAATATTTATTTATACAATGTCATATTTATAAATGCTGCTTTTCTGCACATAGACAAAAAAAACTTTCATGGAAGTTGTGGAAGTAGAATGCATCACTACCTGTGATGAAAAAGATTAAAGGTCTCAAATCTTCTGAAAGCAGAAATCTTTATCTTTTTCGGAGAGTCATTAAATTGCTTCTGTTGAACCCAGTGATGATGTCTATCATTTGTTCGCCTATATTTTTCTAAATCATGATCATGATCAATTTTGAAAAAAATTCATGGTTTTCTTTTTGCTGTTTTTTTTTTCTCCCTATGTTTAATATTTTGTAATTTTATTTTAGTGAGAATGTGTGCTTAGAATTGCCCTTTTTTTTCTCGTTTCACCCAGTTTCTGGTTTATTGGTGATTGATATTTCTATAGGAAAATGTATTTAATAAAAAAAGATTTTTAAACTACCTGCTCTTGGGTATGTTGTTCCAAGAAAGATACTAATAAAGAGGATTTATTTTTTAACTGATATTTTTGTGCCTTCAATGTATTTTCTTTTTAATTATTTACAGTAGAAAATCTAAAAAAAAAAAAGGTTTTTAATAATTGTTACTGTATAATCCAAATTTCGACGTTGCCCTTTCTGGTCTTAATGTAAGTTGAACCCATTTGATGCACCTCATAGCACACATGAGCATGGTTACCTTTACCCTCCTGAGCATGAGGTGATGGTGCATGTATCAAGCATTTGATGCTGAGAGGTGCCATCACATGCTGAGGTTCTGTAGCCTCACGGGGGGGGGGGGACTCAAGGAGTGTGAGGCACAATTTTGTGATCACTTTCAAACCTGTTTTCATTTCAGGGGGAGAGTACTTTCTTTTTTCAGACTTTTCTGATAGCAGCTAAATTGAAAGGACATGAACTGAAATGTTCGAGTCCTGAAAAACATCCTATGGCGGACAACTCATAGCTCAAAGCTTCTTGTTTGGTCTTCTGCTCCTTGAACTTGACATGGCATGTGAGATTTTATAAAAAGTATCCAGTCTCATGTGATCTCTTTTTTTCTTGGACAATCTGACTGATCTCAAATGAATCAAACCAAATCATATAGGGATTTGATGAAATTTTCTGTTGCGTACATTGGATTATTATCTGGAACCGAATAAAGCAGAGTTGTAAAAATTGATGAGTGGCCATGAGCAGTGTGTCAACCAACGGGCTCAAAATTATTTGAAACACATTTCCTAAACATAGAAATCACCCTTACCCTTGCCTTGAAGCCTTTATTTCTAAACTTATAAAAAAGCCTTTTCTGTAGACACGCAAATGCTCAACACTTTCCCAGAGCTTTGTCTGTACCCTTTCTAACTCATATACCATTGACCAGAAATTTATTTTCCCATTGTTACTTTGCTGCCTGCTGTCTTCACATTTACAAGTGAGCACAGTGGCCTCAAAAGCAGAGGGTTGTGGCTTCACATGCTAAGGGTAGGACATATCATTATATCGCTAGTAGCCTCCGGCATTATGCTCACCAGAATACGACATTTAAATACACGTTGAATGCAGAAGATGTGTTAACTTCGGAGTCGGACAACAAGGATTTGCAATTGTCATTTCAGATACACTTCATGGTTAATAGAAAAGACTTAATAAAACAATGCAGTTTGCTCACTGTAACATATTTTTCTAATAACTCAACCCAATAAACCCTGCCCAGTCATTTCAAAGGTGATCCCATTGTTGTAAGGACAAAAAGTACTTTTTCAGTTCACTACGAAAATGTAGAAATAAGTCTATCAAAAGAAGACCATGTGATTAACATTTCAACTTGGCCCCTCATTTTAGTATGTGTTATTTCCAACTATCTGCACAAAGTTTTTCTTATTCAAATTAGGTACAAATAAAGCAAACAAAAAGGATATAAAACACATGTCTCACTGAAATAGTTGTTAAATTTGTGTATTTTTGTCATTTTCTAAAATGAGTATAGATCAAAACAATAAAAAGAGACGTGCATATCAAAATATTTTTTTCAGGTCCAAATGCAATCAACAGTTGACCAAATGGTATCACAGATGAAGCACATAAATTGCTACAAAAATGCTGTAGCTGGTGACAATATGTAAATATTGCAGTATCATTTAAACATTCATTTTGATTTAAAGGCAAAACATCAAGTAAAAACAAACCTCAACAATCAAAATCTCTTTCGTCAGCATGAATTAGAATGATTTATGACACACAAACAAAACACTTCAAATTAGCGCAAAAAAATTAGGTAAAGTTTGAATTTTGGGTATGGCAAACTTGGCCACTGTCATTCTGTGTACAGACCTGATAGAAATATTTTATGTACATGGTGTTGATGGTCTAGGGGTTATGCTATGGGACTTGTAATTGTGAGGTGGGTTTCTGGGGTTGGAAGTTCTGGCTCCACCTGGCTTTGTGCACTTGTAGGAAGCATTTGACACGTTTTCCTGTGGGAATGGGTACCCAGCAATAGACGGCCAAAGATCTTGTCAGTTTGTTTGCGTTTGAAAGCTTAATTGCCTGCATGCACTGGACGCTTCCCAGGTAGCCGAGAATGTTTCCGAGTGCTCTAAGGTCTGCTGAGGTAATGTTTATAGCAGTTGTAAAGTGCATAGGGCATGCTGTAAAGCATGGATATGCGTTATATAAATGCAATTATTTACTATTATTACATACAATCCTAGTTTTCTTAAGGGGAAATGGTGACAGAGAGAAGAGATAGAAGGGAAACGGGGATAAAACTTACCATCAAACAAAGTGACACATATCACCAATTTTTAGCAGTATACTTTGCGTAAGATTTTAGGTATTATGGGGACATATTTATTACACATGAGTTTTAAGAATGTGAGTATACTTGTTTGTTATCAATAGCAAACAGGTTCGTGTGTAAATATTTCAAAGGTTAAGCAAATGGACACAGTGTATATTCTTGTCCATATAACCTGTAGTCATAAACACTATAAATACACAGCAACATAAAAAATGGAGAAGCTTATATAATATAACACCAAGAGAACAATGATTATAATCCATAGTAAAATTAAAGCTAACAAACATCTATTTTAGTAACAAAAAAAATAGAGAATTGATTCTCTCACAGTCCTCTTCTCCAGTTTCAACAGCTCTACATGTATAGATCCCATCTCTAATGTCTATCTCTCTTGCACTCCATCCTGTGTGGGCGGTTGGCCGGTGCTCTGGTGTGGTTTTCTTCTTCTTTCCTATCAAATATCTATCGTCTTTATCTCCCCTTCTTCTTTTTTATGTTTGTTACTCTCGTCTAACACCTCTAATCATCTGCTCATATGACCAGATGCATTTGATAGCGTTGTAAAACCTCTACTGTGGAGTCCACGTATAACGAGTCTAAAACCCTGTTTTTTTCTCTTCTTTACCTTTGTAAATAAAATACTGCTCTAGCGCTATCAGACAAACATGCGAGTCGGTAATAAGCGGAATATTGCTGCTGTTGTGTACAGTGCATAGGCCAATTATCATAATGTAAAACCTCGCCAGTTGAGAAACTTGTTACTGAGCTTGCGAAACAAAGAATAGGAGAGCCCATGTGTGTCAACAATGAAGGCCGGAGCAACTGAGTAGGCAGGGTGTGGCATGCGCAGACAAAGCAGAACACATCGTGAGATATGCCAGCGTAAGCCTAGTTTAGATTATAAAGGCCTACCATGACTCTCACTTCTCCGATGCGGGGACGGAGAGGTCACAGCAATGTGATGGATGGAGCGAATGTGTGACGTGCGCAAGCAGACAGAATGCACCACAGGGTGTGGTGGGGTGGGGGAAAACACAGCGGGCGAGTTAGCCCAGAGCCCTTCCTTTCTGATTGCCAAAGCCGAGCTGTCAGTCCACATTGCTAGAGAAAGAAACCTGATTCGATTTTTGATCAAGTAAAACCTAGAGGTCATGTTGAAACAAAATCGTCATCAGGGGAGATAGCAAAAGGAAATAAACAGAACATCAAACTCATAGATTAGGCCTACTTTACAGTTTCCCTTGAATTTATTACTGGATCCCTTATACCGAGAATCCTGCTATAACTGACATTTTGCTCCGGTCCCGTCCCTCTCATTATAACAGGATTTTACTACACTAAAACAAAAAACTCCATCCTGTAACAGATGTTTGAAAAAAAATCCTCCCTAAGAACTGCCTGCCTCGGTACCAAAGGGGCTGTTTTCTTTTCTGTGCAAGTCTCTCACACCAAAGTCAGACTAATTCTGAAGTCTTTAGGCTCTTCTCCTGTGTCTTCATCAGTCTTGGGGTGCAGACCTCCGATGACATCCTCATCTCTGTTTGAGAGAATAGAATAAATGGTAAATGTAGATGATTTACTCCCACGTGAAGACAATTTAGATAATTTAGAATAGAAGAATGGCTGCCTCAACTCAGCTTGTCAGGGACAACTCGGGCTGAAAGGGATACAACTTCCAGGCAAACAGACGGAGATACTCCGTTAAAAACCCTCCTTAGATGGGAACCAAATACACATCTTCCGTGTGCAAAGGTGAAAAGTCTAACCAGTATACCTCATTCACTGGTTTAGAGAGTATAAAAGTTATCCTGACAAAATGAAATCAGGAGACAACCATAACTCTACATACAAATCTGAAGCATTTATATATCTAGCCTCTATCTGTGCACCATTTAAGGTATCCGTATGTAAACATCAAGAAAACCGAAACGATGGTGATAAGCAGAAATACTCCAATCCCAACATGCAATATCAAAATCAATGATACCACCCTCAAGCAAGTACAACATTTTAAATATTTGGGGACCATTATATCATCAGATGGTAGATGTCACACCGAAATTAAAAGCCGCATTTGCCAAGCAAAAGCAACCTTCCACAAGATGAAACAGATACTAACAAACATCAATCTGTCACTGGAAATGAGGAAAAGAGTAATGAAAAGTTACATCGAGCCAATCCTATTATACGGGTGCGAAGCGTGGACAATCAATAAACAGCTGGAAAGAACAATTGTTGCGGCAGAGTTGTGGTTCATGAGACGCATGCTACGTATCCCATGGACAGCTAGAAAAACAAATGAAGAAGTCCTGGTTGAAGCAAATTATAGAAAACAACTTATCACGAATATAAGAAAACGACAGGCAAATTTTTTCGGACACACAATGCGGAAAGAAGCATTAGAGAACATTGTAACAACAGGAAAGTTTGATGGAAAGAGAGGTAGAGGCAGACAGAGGGAAAAGATACTGGACAAGATGACAACATGGCTGGGAGCAGCAAGAACAACAGACACCATTGCTGCATCGAAAGACAGATGGAAGTGGAGGTCCATGATCGCCCACGCCAGTCGGCAAGGCACCGGATGATGATGATGTACACTTTACTGACTGAGAAATAGTTTAATTCTAACTAATAAGTCAGGGCAATACACAGAGTCAATGAAAAATCAGTAAAAGTGTCTAAATCTTTACTAGAAAGAGTAAGCATGTCCTACCAGACATATGAAAGCTGAATCCCTTTCATTCTCACTTCCTCTCTAATTTCCAAATGGTTCTAATCTTCCCCTGCATTTGATCTGAATTGACAATAATCTGTTCTGAAGTAGACAAAATTAGGCCATAGCCAAAAGCATAACTGAAATGATAACACTGTTCAATATATATATGTTAACAAAAACTCTTATAAAAGCAAAACTGAGGTGCCATCAGTTAACTCCTTATCTCTGGCAGTGCCAGTGAGCCGCTGGTAGCGGCTGGAGTGCATTCCTTCACTATGACTTTGACTTCAAATTACTTTTTGGCAATTGCTGAAATGGCTTTTACCGGGATTCATTAGATGAAGAAATATCAAAACAGGTTCACTTGTTTTGACTTAATGACTGATTTAGTGATGTATGTTGCTTTCAGATTTCATACCAACAATTTTTAAGGGCCCTGGCACACTGGGTTTTTCCCCCTCGGAGATAAAGAGTTAAAAGTAATTACGTTCGTACCGTAACTCTTTATTCTCATATGCAATGTGGATGTCTTTAGTTGACTTAAGCAGCTTCACAGACATTCTCGCCTTCACTGTAGCCATTCGGTCTTCAGAGCTGACAGTAAGCCTGTTTGAGTATTGGAATAAATTAGGAAAACATAATCTATAGATAAATAACAAATAAAGAATCCAAAAAAGAAGGAATAACAAATTCAAAGCCCCCCCCCCCAAAAAAAAAAAATTAAAAAAAAATGAAATTCTAAATGAATATTAATGATGATTTGGGTACAATATCACAGAAAAAGCCATATTTCTAAGACAACGATAAGTATAATTGAACTCCATCATTTCACTGCGTCACAAAGAATTCACACTAAGTTCTGCACAGATGATATACACAGTATGCCACAGTACCTCTTGAGCGTTTGTTGACAAAAAGCTGAAATCAGTGAGAAGAGAATATCACATTTACTCCTGCAACATGACCAAATCCAGCTAAGATGATGTATAGATTTGACCCACCCCAAAGAGAAGAGGGGAGAAAGTGGACATGAAGAATATAACTTATTGGATACAGGTGCCCACATCCCTTGAGACTCATTGGAGCAAAGGAAGATATGACTAACGCTAACATTACTTAAACGCAATCCTACATCATCACTCATCACCACCATTATTTCTAAAATTATCATTGCTCTCAGATCAATGACTTAGGCCTACATCTATAATCATGGAATCTCAATCTGTAACAGTTACTTGTCATACTAAGTATGCACGTAATACACTATTGGACATTATCATACGCACTTTTTTCTGACTAATCAGATGGCGTCAATCTCATCATATAAATGGGCAAGGGATTAAAAAAAACAACAACCCAAAAACTTACTGGATGCTGGACTTGTCAGGGGAGGATTCTAGATCAGACAAAATCTTATCTTCCTCAGAATTTTCAGTTTCCACTTGACCTGTTGGAAGAAAATAAATATCAAGATAATGCTACTATAAAATATTCATGAGCTGAGGTCAGGTGAAAACCTCTCAGATTTCACCCCCCCCCCAAAAAAAACAACAACAACCCCCAACACATGAGGAAAAATCAGACAGCATGAAAGGAGGTGCTGAAGTGCAAAAATAATGATCTCACTAATGGATTTAGTTCTTAGCTATCCTTTATATACACAGATACTAAATTTTAAAGGTGGAACCAATGTAATTAACCAAACTTCTCTTTTTCTGAGAGTCTGAGACGAAATGAAAAACATAGTTTTCATGCTTGAAATAAACAACAAGAGAGACCAAACAAAATGTGGGAATGAATCATGAGCACAACTCCCTCTACTATTTAGACCACTTACATCCACTGGTTCCAATTCAATAAAAATAATAAAATTAATTCTTTAACTTATAGTCTGCCTATGCAATTTCACCCAAAGCCTTATAAAGCAATCAGGTCAAAGGCAAACATTTACAGTTAAAATCTATTAGTATCATGTTTGCAAAGGTATGAAACAATATCTGCTTTAAGAAAAAGCAGACAAGAAGTAGTCCTATAAATCATTATCTAGCCTTATATAGAACAGACTTATGGTGAATTCGTCCTTATTTAAAAGTTTCAATGATTATAGGTTTAAAAATGCAGTCTTGTTTAGCATAACAACAAGAAAATCAGTAATCTGATAAACAAAAGTAATCTCCATGTCTCTCCTGTAGCACTGGCTTTTCCCTGACTTACCATCAAACTGCAGTGCGTAGTAGAGAGAATTTGGATTTCGAGAGCTGGACCATGCATAATCTTTGCCGACCCCAACAGTTTCTGTGGGTTTGACTTTCAGCCCATCTTGTGCCTCCCAGCCTTGGCCGTATATGTAGAAAAGTTTCTTGTGTTGAGCTGCTGCAGGGCCTTTCAGTACATAGTAAAACTTAAAGGCATCCTCCTCTGCCTTGGACGACTCTGAGGAGATAATTTATACCATACAAATGCCTGCAGTATGAGCAATTTTTCCAAAAAATAAGGTCTAAAAGTATACCCCACCTATTACAAATGCTACATAATAATAATAGACAGCATTTGTATAGAGCCCAAATCCCTGTTCAATAGCAAGCTCTATGCGCTTCACAATCTATAGGCGTACTATTACCCCAGCAGACCTGAGAGCATTCTGAAACAGCCTCAACTTCATGGCAAGTATACAGTGCAAGCAGCCATTTATAGGCACTAAAACACTAACATACTGACAAGATCTTTTGCTGTCTATGGTCGGGTACCCATTCCCACCTGGGTGAAGTGAGGAAAATTCGTGTAAAGTGCCTTTCCCAAGGACACAATGTCTGGCCTGCGGCTTGAACCCCCGAACACGCAACATACAGCTAGGATGAAGCCCAACAAATGGGACGTAGCGCTGAAAAGGGTTTTCCATTGAGAAATCAATATTAATGTAACTGCCAATAGTCGATAATGATAAGACAATTATTTGATGCTGGACTAGTAGGCCTACTCGATTTCACACATGTTGAGCTCCCTCCAGCATTTAAAATATTCACCCTGTTTTACAGGTGGCACCTATGTTTTACAAAAATAGGCCACTTTTAAAGTCAAAGTATTGCCCCCATATTAAACATGAAGTTGTGTTTTAGATCAGCATATACCATTCTTCAAAATTGGACACTTCAACTATCTTGCTTGAAGTCACTAGACAATGAAGAAAAAGAGAGCCAAAAATTGGGATGAATCCTAAATACTGATGGCAAATTGGTGCTTTTCTTCTATTCTTGATTTTCAGCACAAAGATACTGATATCGTGGGATAAAGAATGAATCTGCTTGCTTGTGATCCCCTCAGTATTTACTTTCACTGGCAGTATTAAATGTAACTAACAAAAGGTATTGTGGAATTTAACTTTTTATGAGTCAATAGTGAAACAATGCAAGTAAAAAAAAACAGGAAATAAAATGGCTTGAGAACAGTTCATAAGAAATACAACAGGACATCCCTCCCACCAGGGGCGGTTGGTGAGTCTAAAAAGTGGACGTGCACAATTAAGCTATGTTAGGCTCAAGATAGTCAAGGGCAGAGTAAATGGGATGGTGTATAACTTTAGGATCTTTGGGTTGATAAAGGAAGACCTTGTGTTTTTATTTTCATTCTTTTTACTTGTGGCTTTGACTTTTAGAACTAAATCTGTTTGTTAGCTAAACATCAATTTCATTCATCCTGCATTAGAACTGAATACTCAAGTAATACCTTTCACCACTCTACTACAAAACCGTTCAAAAGCACAACGCATAGGACTGTGACTTAAGTATGTCACGTTCACCTCCCTCAGGTTCACGGTCACAGAGTCACTTAAAATAGCGACAAGACAATGAACCAATCACAATTCACTTGAGCACTCCGCTGAATTGCTCCGGGGCCCACATAATTTTGGCATGGAATAGTGCACAGTCTATGGCGTTTATTTTTAGATTGCCTTCGATGGGCTATGTTTCGGCGCTGTTCAGCAGGAGCACGTTTGAGATGTGCCGTCTTATTAATATTAATGTACCGCCAAACTCACAACAAGTGTCGTCATCGCTTGGGTTATCCCAAAGAGCGATTCATAGGTCAGGTTTCCACTGTTGACTGTCCTGTTATGTTTAGATACAGCGCATGAACTTAGGCATGGCATAGTAGGTTTTACGGCGCTATAGATTAGAAATGACAGTTACGGCGCCAGCGAGGGCCTTGTTTTGATATAATATTTGGCTAGTGTTTGTTTCTGGCGTCTTTTATTTTATTATTGTGGGTGCTTTACGTCATAGAACTTTAAAATATTTTGGGCGGCACTGCACGACCGTGCTCTATGGACGAACCGCGCCTGCCTCCCACCTTTTCAAATATGAGAAAGAGCAGATTCTTTTAGAAACAAAGTCAAGCGAATCTTTCTAAAAATTCTTTATTCCATACCTCAGTAAAACTCTTAAGATACAGTTTTTAGCAGGAGTTTACATAGCCTTCACAGTTACATAATCTAATAATCAAGCCTGAGAGCAAAGCAGTAATCCAGGACAATTTCTTACCTGGTCCATATTTGTTCAGCCTTGTATGATAAAAATAGTGTTCCTTGTTGTCAAGTTCCTTCCCCTTCTCATTCTCATATGGACACTCTTTTCCTTTGAGACTTTTCACAGGAGGCTGCTCTGTCTGAGGTTGCCTGTAGCGCACAGAGCCATGCTCAACGTCCACCAGGACAGGGGCATCCACAAGTACTTTCTGGATTTGAATTTACAATTTAAAAAAGGAGAAAAACCCATTTAACATTTCTTATTTGCAGTTAGTTAAAATAAATGAAAATGATTAAAAGATGCAAGAAGTTATGACATTCGAGATAAGAAATGGCAATATCATCCATACAGTTGGGGATACATCATAAACATGGATGTCGTCATTTTTTCTTTTCTTTTTATATTTTCTTTGTCTGACAGATATAAACAGTAAATTCACGTCCAGTATAGTAAAAACAGATTTTTCAAATCATGAAAGCATTATCGGGAGAGACAGGTGCACAGCTCACATGAAATTCTTAATCATGCATATCCCCACCCTTCACTTTCCTAAAAAAAGAACCCCATAAAATCTGACATTCTCAAGTCACAATTTTTATTGGCTAACTACAATGACACAAGGTCAAAGCTGGCAAGTTTGTCAACAATAGGCCACAAATGTTTTTTACGGAATGTTTTTCTTTATATGGGTAAATGAGAAGAGTTCAATGTCTTTTTGTTGACACATTCACTTGAATGTCTTTGATGAAAGAGTAATTTATCTGTCAATAGCTCAGCTACTGTTTAACGAGTTTTTCTACTAACCTTTTGTTCTTGCTTTTCTAGCTTGCGGGAATATTGCACTCTCGGATTAACTGGTGCGCCAACGGCTGTTGGGCCCTTTGTGGCTCCAGCGCCCATCACAACTTGATTTTCTTCAAAATGTGACTAAAAGAATTTGAATCATGACCTTTCACATTCACATCATATTTGGTCATTAGATGCCCTCTCCATCAATCTGTTTTGGAAACCTGAATAAAAAAATAGAAGAAAAAAAGCCAAGAGAAAAATTAACACATACTTTGGTCAATCTGTAGGCATAGACCTATCCATACATCACAAATAAAATTGTAGGGATACACAGAATATAACTGGCCACCTCAGTCTGAACCAACATAATTGCAATCTAGCATGCACATAAAGAAATCTGTCGGATGCGGAAATTTTTCTTGCTATATTATGAATTTTGCAATTAATAAACTTTAGAAAATATCAAGTCCAACAACTGAGTAAAAATTTTACATGAATTTATGCTCCTTTCCAAGCAAATATGCCTATTGAGTTCATTGTTGTTAAAGGGGCAGGGGTAGGGCGGCAGCTGAGGGCCATCTTGCTTATTTGCAGACCAAATTTTACTAAATGTCACACATATAACAAGTATAGTGTGTTGAATAATGTATATTACATAACACTTCTGTTGTAACAGTTAGGTAACATATCAGGATTTAGACAGTACCTTTCTTTTACTCAGTAGTCACTTTCGGGTTACTGTGTACTAAAGGACAAAAATAAAACAAAGAGCCCTTTCAAGCGTGCATTTCTTCACTTTCTCTCAATCCCACAAAACCGAACAATATTACATGGTGGCAGTGGTTAACAACAGTAGGGCCTATAAGTGTCATTTCTTTTTTTTTTGAATAATGGCTGAACACGAAACGGATGTTAACGTTCATCAGGCCGGTGAAACATCAGTTCATCGCCACGTGTCTCTACCCCGCCGAAGCCTTTGATGGGAAGGAAGAATCATGGCCTCGTTGGAGACAACGTTTCAACAGGTTTTGTTCGTGCATGGGTCTGCAAAACAAATCACAGTCAGAGCAGGACAGTACTCTACTGTACACTATGGGGGAGGTAGCCGATGACATCCTCACGATTTTGTCAGTCGAGGAAAGCACCACTACATAAACAGAAGTGATAGAGGCATTTGATACTCACTTTGATGCATGCAAGAATATCATTTTCGCTTGTGCAAAATTCAACAAACGCACTCAGTTACGGGGAGAGAGTGTTGATATATTCATCCAAGACTTGCGCAGGCTCACAGACGACTGCAGCTATGGAGCCCTCAAAGATGAACTCATAAAAGACAGAATAGTTGTCTGAGTAAGGGACGATGATCTGTCCAAACAGCCCCAATTGAAGCTCAAGCTCACCTTCAGTGAGGCTATACAAATAAGCCGACAAGCTGAAGCTCATGATGACAGCCTCTAGACACTCGTACGACCTCGAACCCTGACTTGAAACAAAACTCGCAAGTTTGGTTCCAGCAGCTCTAAACTTAACGCCATGCTACCAGGCAAGGAAGCGGAGTAGGGGTGCAATTTGAGGGTAGATGTTACCCCATCTATGTAAGCCCTGAGCGATGAAGATCTTCAGGGGTGTGTGGGTGTGAAATCTCACGAGTACGCTCTGACGATTCCATCTCACACAGGTTCGACTGTATAGTTGTAAGAGAGGCTAAATTAAGAAGCCATTCACAACTCTGCTAGGATCAGCTGTTTTTCCTCGACTGCTTCTTATGCTCCCCCCCCCCCCCCTCTTCCCCATGGTCCACTCTCTACTTCAACTTCACCTATACACCTAATTTGCAGAACGCCGAGCTATAGTTTCTAATCATTGTTGAAGAAGTACCCTCACACATGTGGTGATATGTGAGTACAGTCTTCATGTGAACACAGACTCTTCACACCCAGTGAAGTGTGCTGCCTAGAATTACTGCTGAATACTTAAATTCTGTGATGTATGCAATGAACACCTCCACTGTGAACATTATTGCGCCCCAGCTTACAAATGTCATGGCCTAGACTCATATCATGCCCTCTTTCTCCCTCTTCTATCACTGACACTGTTACCTCAGTGAACACATTTCGGGTCATATATTTATCTTCGCTTACACATTTTTTTACACGATGTAGACTACAAATTGTTTTCGCAATTTATTGATTACAAAGATTTCATCTCTAGATGAGATCTAGAATCTAATCTAGATATATCTAGATCTAGATCTAGATCTAGATATCTAGATATCTAGATCTAGATATCTATCTATACTATGTGCGTCTTGATGGAATCAGCTGCAGGTGCTCCTCAATCTTTTGGCTAGATCTATCTAGCTAGACTATACGTAGACTCAATGTTATCACATTTTCTTAAGCAGCAGGGTTGGCAACTGCCAGGTGCAGTTTGTTGAGTGAATGATTGTCAAAAGAGAAAAAAAATAGCGATTCAATGAAAGGTCTGATGAGAGATACGAACTTTCTTCCGTGAAAAAGAATGGCGTCCCAAGCAACAACAAAAAGGGGAGCAATTATTGACACTTCCGGTTAAGAAATTCAACCGTGCTTATTTCCCTTCGTTTAGCAAAATCCCTTGCCGACGGAGGCTCAAAAATCATGAACGCAAGGGAAAAGTGTAAAACACGTAGGCCAAGAAGAAGAAGAAGGAGCAGAAGAAGCAGAAGAAGCAGCAGAAGAAGAAGCAGAAGAAGCAGCAGAAGGAGAAGGAGAAGAAGAAGAAGAAGGAAGAAGAAGAAAAAGGAGAAGAAGAAGAAGAAGAGGAGCAGTGCTTATATATCAGCAACAACAACACCAGCAAAAACAATAACAACAACAACAACAACAACAACAACAACAACAACAACAACAACAACAACAACAACAACAACAGCAAACATATCGAATAGCTAAAAGTTGTTTCCCACTGTAGTTTCCTGATAGCCTGCATCTGAATTTGATAATCCGTTTTCCTTCGTTAAGCATATGTTCTCATTGCCGACGGAGGCTCTA